AGGTGCAGGACTCTGCACTTCTTGTTGTTGAACCTCCTTAGATTCCTCTTGGCCCAGCTCTCCAGTCTGTCCAGATCTCACTGAATGGCCACCCAGCCTTCAGGTGTGTCAGCCAAACCTCCCAGTTTGTGTCACCAGCAAACTTGCTGAGCAGACACTCTGTACCATCATTGGGGTCATTGATGAAGATGTTGAACAGGACTGGACCCAGCACTGATCCCTGGGGGACTACACTAGTCACAGGTCTCCAGCTGGACTTGGCACCATTGATCACCACTCTTTGGGCTCTATTGTGTAGCCAGTTCTGTTCCTCTATCTCATATTTCCTGAGCTTGCTCAGGAGGATGTTTTGGGGACTGTGTCAAATGCCTTGCTCAGGTCAAGGTAGACCACATCAACTGGTCTCCCTACATCTACCCATCCAGTCACCACATCACAGAATGCTATCAGATTAGACAAGCATGATTTCCTCCTGGTAAATCCATGCTGACTAGTCCTGATAACCTTCTTCTCTTCCATGTGCTTTAAGATGACCTTCAGAATGAGCTGCTCCATCATTTTTCCAGGGATGGAGGTGAGGCTGACTGGATCTTCCTCCTGGCCCATTTTGAAGGCTGGAGTGACACTGGCTTTCCTCCAGTCCTCAGGCACCTCTCCTGTTTGCCACGATCATAGATTTTATGTCTGTGCTGACATCTGTTCTGCTGGATTCAATTCTCTTTAAGCTTGTCTCAAATTCAGCTTTCATAAGATACAGGCTTTGATAAATAATTATCCAGGAATGATTTACACATATTATACACATGACCTGGGCTCATTATACACTTAACCTGTTGATTCTTACCCTGTCACCTGCCCCAAGTTGTCCTTAAATTGCGGTTTATGTATTAATATTACCAGAACTTCTAATATCACCAGAAGAGGTGATAGAGGAAGGAAAAGTATGTTCACCTGGTTTTTGCCTATCATAAGAGAAGACGAAGCAGAAGCTATCACCAAATCAATTTATTGGGTAAAAAGAAGACAGATACAATGCAGAAATTTAAGATTATCTAAGAAGAGGAAAATGAGGATGTTTTTTAAAAAGCTTAGCGAGCAAGGAGAGATAGGAATCAGAAAAAGAAAGCAAGAAATGGAATTTTACATCAGACTTAGAAAATTTATTATCTTTTCCATGCCTTTTGCACCAGATTGGAATGCTGCCACCTCAGCCCAAAGGGTGATGAATACTGTTCCATGGAATCCCTCTTGCAGATGGCACCAGGTCACTTTTATGCCATGGTCCTCTAGGCGTTTCTTGTACAGCAGTCCATCATCTCTGAGCACATCAAACTCACAGGTCAAGATGAAAGTCTCGGGAAGTCCAGCAATAACACTGTCTTCAGCTAGCAGTGGTGAAAAAACAGTGTCTAAGAAAGGTTTGCACTGCGTGTAGATTTCTTGTGAGAATGAATGTGCTGGACTTGGTTTGTAGCCTCTTGTTTTAAACTCACAAGGGATGTAGTCAGTATTCACCCATTTCTGATACTTCAGCTGCAAATCTTGTGGAACATGAGTGCATTTACATACCTCTTTTATGAGTGCCACGTCTTTATTGAGATACCTAAACAAAAGACTGAAGGATCGTTCCTTTAACAAAATGGGGACTCCCTTGTTCTGCTGGTAAGAGGGCAAATTAAAGTCCATGCCCTGGAGGAAAGGATATATTAGGATTTGTGCTCTCAGCTTTGGGAGATCTCTTCTGTGCACCAGTGCTTGGGCAACAGCAGCTGTGAGTGTGCCTCCACTGCTGTCTCCACAGATGATAATGCGGGAAGGGTCTACCCCATAATGTTGTGCAGTCCTCATGAAGTGGATGGTGGCACTGAGACAATCCTCAAACTGGGTTGGAAAAGGATGCTCAGGAGCTAGGCGGTACCTAAACAGGAGTGAAAATGTGTTACCATGGTCGTACCTGTTGTCTTTTCATTCACGTCTGAAGACAGGAAAATATTCTGAGACTATAATAACAGCAGTGGAATCAATCATGATAATTATTAATTGTGTATTATTAGCTAGTGTTGTTAATGTTTGGGGGGGTCGTACACTATTCTAGCTTTGTCAATTGCTTCACTCCCTGTCTCTTAAGTGACTGAAGGCACCTGCTCAGTTATTGTGGGATGAGGCAAGACAGACAGGTGGGAACCCGTTACCAGCAGTTCTGGTTGGAGACAGAGGGGAACATTTCCCAACAAACCGTCAGAGGATATGAGCACAGAAAATTGATAATGAAAATATGAAAGATTTTCAGCATTTTTCTAGAAGCCGAGTTCTTTATAAACAGAATCCATGATGGTTAATGGCTCTTCAAGTATTTTAGGATGTAAATAGTAATTAGTGCAATTTGGTTTCCCAGACTTTTCCTGAACTTTTAGAAATTGGTTCTTTAAGATTTCATTACAACTCATCAGAAGAACATTTGGAGTGTTCCTTCAGGTTGATGGCCAGTTAAATGTGGATATCCCACTCAGGTTTTTCACAGTGACTGCTCAGGTGGGTATTTTGCAGTCTGGCAGCTGTGCTTTAGCAGAGACAGACTCCAAACACGGCGCTGGTGTTCAGTTGGAGGTTCAGTTTTGGATATGGCTTTAGGAAGCACAAACATCCTCACCTCTTAGCGGTGCCTTACAAAACCATTAGAATGGATTTTATTTGGAAATAAGCAAGTGGGGATTAGCTGACTAATTCTTCCTAAGAGTAATTAGTGCTGGTGAGATGCATGCAGTAATTAAATACAAGTATTGTGTGTGCTTTACAAGGAGCATGGCTTGCGGGTGCTGTGCATTCAGACTTACAACCCAGAAGGAGACACTGGTGGTTGTCATGTTCTGTGGCTGGGCTGACTTCACTTACCCAACAGACACAACCACTGAATTGCTCTTTGCAGCAAGGTAGCGACATGTTTTTTCATAGGCCTCTGTAAAACAAAATATTTCAATGGAATCACAATTGCTTTAAGAGTAAGTGGACTGAAACTATTCTGACAGTCTCATCTCTGCTCTGTGATTGGTGCTACGCTGTCAGTCTCTTACTGTGGCATGGTCTAATCTGGAAACTGCTCACAATTTCATTACCTCTGTGGGAGTCTGCTGCCAGTAAGACAGCTGGAATTTACAGCACTGCATGGTTCCTGCCTCTTCTTTGAGAACTTAGTTAAGAGAAAGTGCCACTGCTGCCACTTCTAACGTGGTATCAAAGAGAAGTTATTTTAAAAAAACCCAACCAAACACAACGCCCCCTGCTAAATCTGGCACAAGAACTTTTCTTGTGCATGAGCCACCATCTGATCTCCTAGGCACTTCCATTTCAAGTGCCAAAACCTATTTTTGCCTTCTTTTGCCACTGTAAAGACACACAGCAGTATCTGCACAAACACCCCAGGTTGCACACACGTGTGACTGTAAACTGGGTTCTTTAGAATAGGAAATAAAATTCTAATGAGATTCTCAATTTTTCTCATGAGCATGAAGGAGAAGGAAGAAAACAGGGATTATAAATGATCAGAGGATAAAAGTTCTAGAACACAACCTGTACAAATACATTTTACACCGATTCCTACTGCATGTAAGTGAAATTATTCTGCTGTCCTGAAATTAATTTTGATATTTCTAATGTGTGATCTACTAACTCATCTTGTCATTTAAGAAATACCACATCAGATCAGAAACTATGCAGTATTTAGTTATAGCTCTTTTTTTTATATTACTTACTAATGCTTCCAAACAGTCCAATTCCTCCATGAAAGTAAAGGATTCCTCTTCTTTGTCCAGTGGTTGATATTGTTGGCTGATACAGTCTTACTTCAACCTTTTCAAATATTAAGTCCTTGATAAAAAGCTGTTTATCTTTCAGTGGTGGTATTCCTTCCATTAACGTCCTGAGGACCTCGATCTCTGAGGCAATTCCTACTTTTTCCAGAAATTTTGCCTGTTCAAAAAGGGAAAAAAACCTCAAATTAGTGCAGATTTCCATCCTAGAGACTGATCATGAAAAAATTTAAATTCTGTGGTCAGTTCAAACTTTATCTCCTGATGTTCTTAAAATGAAGTGGCCGGTTATGAGGATGAGGATGATTTGGATACATCTTCATGGTAATGTAATACCTACCAAAATTTGAAATTCAAAGAGCAGTAGATTTGACAGGAATGGATGAATTTATCTTCTGTAGCTGCCTGTGTCCATGCTTCTCCAAAAGCCTTTGAGGCCGTGGGAAGCCTGCTTGAGGGGCACAGTAACGTGGCTCATTGATACCATCTTACATCTCTGGCAAAACCATTACCAGTGCTACCCAGCAGAACACAGGATTATGTTTGGTGGTAATTTTTGGATTATATTAGAAATGTTAGGTGAGAACATGGTTTTTCAAATTGTTTCATTCTTCAGTGTTGAAATCCTGGCTGAGTTTTTATCAGTAGGAAAAAATCAAACTATTAATAATAGATGAAAGAAGGTGACAAATACTTCAGCTTGTCAGATGTTTAGGAACCGTGTGTGTGAACAAAATAAGGGGAGTACTTACAGCATTTTAAACTTCAGCTTTGGATAGAATAATAGAATCATGCTGGTTGGAGGAGACCTTCAAGATTGAGTCCAACCATCCCCCCAGCACCGCCAGGTCCACACTGAGCCATGGCCCTCACCCCACATCTCCACAGCTTGGAAACCCCTCCAGGGGTGGGGACTCCACCACTGCCCTGGGCAGCCTGGGCCAATGCTTGACAACCCTTTCGGGGAAGACATTTCTCCTCATGTCCAACTTAAAACTCCCCTGGGGCAACTTGAGGCCGTTTCCTCTTGTTCTGTATCTTGTTCCTTGGGAGCAGAGCCCGACCTCCCCCTGGCTCCAGGCTCCTGTCAGGAGCTGTGCAGAGCCAGAAGGTCTCCCCTGAGCCTCCTTTGCTCCAGGCTCAGCACCCCCAGCTCCCTCAGCTGCTCCTCCCCACACTTGGGCTCTGGACCCTTCCCCAGCAGCTTCATTGCCCTTCTCTGGCCACGCTCCAGCCTCTCAGGGTCCTTCTGGGAGTGAGGGGCCCAAAACTGAAGCCATTATTCGAGGGATGGCGTCCCCAGTGCCAAGTCCAGGGGGATGATCTTTGCCCTAGTCCTGCTGGCCACACGAGTGCTGGTCCAAACCAGGATGCTGGTGGCCTTCTGGGGCACCTGGGTACACTTTGGCTCATCTCCAGTTGGCTTTGAACCAACACCTCATGGTCCTTTTCTACCAGGCAGTTTTCAGCCACTCCTCCCCAAGCCTGGAGCATTGCCTGGGGTTGTTGTGACCCCAGTGCAGGACCTGCCACTTGGCCTTGTTGAACCTCATCCCCCTGGCCTCAGCCCATTGATCCAGCCTGGCCAGATACCTGTGTAGAGCCTCCTACGCTCAAGTAGATCAACACTCTCACCTAACTTAGTGTCATCTGCGAGCTTACTGAGGGTGCCTTGATGCCTCAGTATGTTGAGAAAGATATTAAATAGAACTGGTGCCAGTACTGAGGCCTGGGAAACGTCACTTGTGACTGGCCACCAACCAGTTTTGACTCCATTCCACACCACTCCTTGGGCCTGGCTGTCCAGCCACATTTTTCCCCAGCAGAGTGTATGCCCATCCAAGCCATGAGCAGTTTCACCAGCAGAATGCTGTGGGGAAGAGTGTCTAGAGCTTTACTGAAGCCCAGGTACACAACATCCACAGCCTTTCCCTCACCCACTAAGCGGGTCACCTTCTCAGGGAAGATCAGGACCTGCTTTCCATAAACCCACGGGCTGGCTGGGCCTGATTGCCTCGTTGCCACATGATGGCACTCAAGATGATCTCTTCCGTAAACTTTCCTGGCACAGAGCTCAGACTGACAGGCCTGTAGGTCCCTGGATCCTCCTTCCAGCCCTTCTTGTAGATAGTGTTGTGGTTTGAGGCTTGGAATGGGGGCGTGACCTTCCAGCAACTGGGAGGACCCCGGGTGGGGGTGAACCATTGTATTCCCTCCCCTTCCCACACACACTCTGATAAGAGGCAGGGAGTGGGTTCTAATTTCACTCCTGGCTTGGAGCTCGGAGAGGGAAGTTGTCCTTTCACTCCGTGGGACCCTGGAACCATTTCTGAGGGTTTTGTATATTTTATTTTTTGTATTTTTCCCCTAATCTTTGTATATATTATTTTCCTTACCTCCCTTTTTCGTTTTCTGTTCCTTGTTAAACAATATACTTCATTTTTTTTCCAAAGTGTCTCTCTCTCTCTCTCTCAGGGGGGGAGAGGCGAGTACATAGTTCTGTTCCGTGTGGGTCCTGCCCTGAACCCCTTTTTACACAGAACCAGGACATACAGGAATCACATTTGAGAACCTCCAGGCCACTGGGACCTCTCCCATTAGCCAGGACTGCTGATAAGTGATGGAAAGTGGCTTGGTGAGCACTTCTGCCAGCTGCCTCAATGGCCTTGGGTGGATCCCATAGAATCATAGAATTCTTTAGGTTGGAAGAGACCTTTAAGATCATCAAGTCCAACCATCAAGCCAACACTACTAAGTCCTCTGCTAAAACAGAATCAGAATCTGTCAGGGTTGGAAGGGACCCCAAGGATCCCCCAGTTCCAACCCCTCTGCCATGAGCAGGGACACCTCCCACTAGATCAGGCTGCCCAGAGCCTCCTCCAGCCTGGCCTTAAAGACCCCCAGGGATGGGGCCTCACCCACCTCCCTGGGCAACCCATTCCAGGGTCTCACCACTCTCCTGGGGAAGAACTTCTTCCTCACATCCAGTCTGAATCTGCCCACTGCCAGCTTTGCCCCATTCCCCCCAGTCCTGGCACTACCTGATATCCTAAGAAGTCCCTTCTCAGCTTTCTTGTAGGACCCCTTAAGATCCTGGAAGGCCACAGTAAGGTCCCCTGGGAGCCTTCTCTTCTCCAGGCTGAACAGACCCAACTCTCTCAGTCTGTCCTCACAGCAGAGCTGCTCCAGCCCTCGGATCATTCTCGTGGCTCTTCTCTGGACATGCTCCAGCCCTATTGGTCTGTGTGTGTCTAAGTAGTGCAGTAAAGAAATGTGGCTAATACTTTCCCAAACTCACAATACTTCTTAATGTGCAGAAAAAAACCCACAGCATCTACCAAAGCTGGCCTCCTGAGAAAGAGTAGCCTTGAACCTCAGCTTGGTCTTCTCACAGCTCAGTGAGTTGTACTTAAGCATGCTGGCTGAAGATCCTTACATTGCTCTGAACTAGTCTGCTTCATGGCCTGGATGGATTTAAAGTGTTTCAGTTGTAGTCTGCTCTGGTCTACTCCTGCTTAAGTTTAAAAATATACATCAGTATCACTGTATTTCCACTATATTGGAATAAATTTTGTACTTTTCTTCTTCAGCAGTCGACTTCTTTAATAAATAATTTAATTTGTTGTGTTGCTCTGATTCGTGCCTATGTATTTCAAAAAGAATGGAGGTATTTGCTGCACATATCTGAAAAACCCACAAGTTGTGTGGCTTTCTCCTCACATTTCACAGACCTCACGTGGCTCAATAATGTGGTCCTCTTAAATTTGATTTAGGGATCCTGTTTTCAGCCATTTGAGGAGCTGATCCCATATGCAAGAAGGACCATCTGGTGGCCAAGCATTAGTCTCATACTGATTCCTTCTGGAGAACTCCTGTATGGTGTCCATGGGGAAATAATTTTCTTTCTTTCATCTCTTAATTCCCTCCTGTATTTTCTGTCCTCACACTAATACTTTTGCAACAGCAACAGTTAAACCTGTAATTAGCTATATTGTTTGTACATAATATGGAGATCATCTTATCTTGGAAATACTGCCAAGAACTTGTCAGTGGCTGTGTTCAGTGTTGGCAGTCTGCCATCTCATTTTGTCAGACCTGCAATAGTTTCACAGGTCAACATGGTCAAATTATCCTTTATTTACATTGCTCTTGGGCACTTCTCCCTGCTGGCAGTGCCTCCACGGGTCACCTGCAGCAGTGCAGGGCACACGTCCACAGGCAGTGTCAGCACACGTGATCTTCATTGTCATTTCTGTTACTGTGCAAACCAATCTCTTCTGGTCTTGTTTTTTTAAATTGTGTAGGTTTAAACTTGGAGGTTGGACTAGACCTGTAAAGATCCCTTCCAACCCAAACCAGTCTATGGTTCTATGAATCTGCCCAGTTCCTGTTAATAGAAGTTCTATGAGAACCAGCAGAAATTGCATTTTTGCTTTGTTTTCTGATTCAAGCCCCTTTTTCAGTATGTGTTCCCTCAAAGGGAGGTATTGGGTTTTGGCTTCCAGTTTCTGGAACAAAACTGATCCCTTGCATGACAGCTGCTAGGCAGGGTGTAGCTGCATAGCTGGGTATAGCTGGAGTAGATGTCCCTGAGTTCTTTGTTAGCAGAAACCCCACTTTGAGGATCCTGGTGGTTAAAAAGCTTGTTCTTCTGCAGGGGATTAACCAAGCCAGCCCAACGGGACCCACACTTTGACATTCTAAACATGTGTGACTGCTGAGTACTCTAATGGGTGAAACTGGCCAGTTTGGTTATGCATTCGTTAAGGATCTTGTAACTCTGTAGATGACATCAGAACATTCATGAAGACTTGGAGGCCGTGTGGGGCAGTCCAGGTGTGGGACCAGAGAACTGCGACCTCCTTTGAAGCGTTGTCTAGTTCAGCCTCTGTGGCCCCACCGAGTGCAAGTGTCTGGCAGTCACAGTGAAATACCAAAGACCTGATCCTGCTGGCAGCACCTGGCATGGAGATTCCATGCACCAGGAGCAAAGCTGGGTGAAAGCTTCGAAGTGGGAGTCCAGACACAAGCCCAAGCAAGGGACTAGGGCCTGCAGCAGCATGCGTGGGGTGGCGGCTGTGGGAGGGACGTGGCAGAGCTGAGCTCTCTGTGCTGCTTGGGTCCTTTGTCCACCTCCCACAGGTGTGAATGCCTGCTGGGTACACTCCAGAACTCATCTGATAGCTCCTCACAATGTGTGCCAGCCCTTCTCCCTACATCAGTGCCAGAACAGGCTGGGTAGGAGATGCTCACAGAACTAGTAACACAGGAGGTAGCATCACTTAGTCAGCCCTTTTATCTCCCAGCCAGCATCACTCATAGGTCCCCTGGCTATTGTTTAGCTCTACCAGGAGGTCACTTTTTCTTCTTACACATGTCACATTAGATGAAAAACTAACAGATTGAGTAAAGGCTTTCTCAGTGAAGAAGTTTTACTAACATGAAGGTGCAGCTGGTTTTGTTTAAGTATATCCTCACAGGTGAACTCAGACATTTCCTTGTAACAGCTATTCCATTGGGCACAGCTGCCTCGTACTGCCTTGGCTCCAGTGACTTCACATGCATCCTTCCTCCCAGCTGAAGACTGGGTGAGTTAGTGAACTTTAATTTTCCCTACTGTTTTGACATCATGGGTTGTCATCCCTTGAAAGGATTCAGCTACTTTGCCATAAGTAGTTGACCTAAGAGCAATGGCAAGAGTTTCTGTGTGACTCGGGTGTCACTTGCATTAGCTTTTGCATAACTACACACTAGTGTCCTTAGCTGTCTGCTCCTCTGGGGTGCTGTGGTACAAGTGCTTTTGCTTGGCCTCTCCCTTCCCATCAGAAAAGATACAAAATTATAACATTAGGCATTTAATACTACATTAATCACTAGTAATCTTCTAAATTCTGCAGTTTAGCTTTTTAGATATGAATTACACAAAGATAAAACTTTGCCTGATTAATAAGAGTATTCCTACAGTGTTTGGAGAATGTGGAAGTCTGCACATTGTGTAGTAGATGAAAATAATAGAAAATGTAGTTTTATTTCTATTAGTATTGTATTTTGCTGCTTTGCTTTGCTATCACAGCAGTGTTCAGGCCTGGGTAGGGTGCTTCTTGACAGACACATTCTTAGGAGCTTACTGCCTGACTTCAAAGAAAACTTAATAGGCAATGTAGCAGGGAAAGGTAGGAAGAAGCAATGACATTGGAATGCTGAATGGAAGTGAAATGTAATTACAAGCCAAAGAAACAGAAGGCTTTTCACAATTTAAACAACTAAAGGAAAAGAAGCTTGGTTTAGGTACCACAGAAGTGGTTTTAAAATTACAGAGACAACAATTAATTCAGGGGAGGACAACTGATGAAAGAAAGACAAGTGGAAGCCAGGTTCTAGTTTTGAAGAGAAAGAAGAGTGAAAAGCAAGGCAGCATCAAAGATGTGCCAAAAAACAGCAACACAGAAAGACAGATTTAATATTATATGCATTATCTCAAAAAAGAACATTGTATAAATATATTGAAAGGCAAAAGATGAGGCATGTGGCAGCTGTCTTCCAGGTGGCTCAGAAGCAGTGACCCAGCTGTAGAAGAGGACTGAGGTCACAGATCATTTGGCTGCTCGTTCTCTCAGTAAGCACTGTGTTACACAGGGCACAAGCTCTGCATATACAGTGCAGTGAACTGCTTAAGCCTCCCAGCACTGCATTGAGGCAAAGGGATTGAAAAACTAAAACACAGGCTAGCAGGAAAAACTCAGACTTAGAGTCTGCAGAATTGTATTTTTCCATAGGATTTCCTCTGGTGCTGTACAGGCAGCAGTGGGGTCCATTACAGCCAGCTGGGCTGAAGGTCTCTGCAGTGGTGCTCACGTCACCAAATCAATCCAGCTGCACACTTGCAATATATTCAACTATTGATTCCAAAGAAAACTCAATAATCCATTATCCCTCTTTCAGAAATAAAATTGAAAACTCCAGCTTTAACCAGGTTTGACTTACCAGCCCAAAGCCAAAGTTCATCACATGATGAAGAACGTAAAGTTTTCGTCGCTCACTAAATCCATGGGGGATTTCTGCCTTGGGGTGTTCATAATAGAATGCCATTGCCACCAAGACAGTCAGAACAGCAAGAAAAGTCACCAGGAGTTCCATCTGCCTGTCCTCCTGGGAGCCAAATGGCAGAACCAGCTGTGACTTCCTTCCCCCTCTGACTTTTGAAGGATTTCTGAAGGTACAGATACAGGATTAGTAATTCTCGTCGCATCTCATTATCTGGATTTTAAAACTGCTGATAGGAAGATGAAAATGTGTGGCAACCAAACCATGCAATTAGGCAGATCTTAACAATTAGTCACGGGAGAGACTTGCACAAGCAGTGGTTCATACTTGGAGCTAACATGTTTTGAGTCTGTGTCCAGCACCATAAAACCAGTGCTTAGTATATCGTTTGTAGCATCAGTGTTAGGAGAAAACAAAAACCTGCTAGGTCTCTCCCTATTGAATACAGTCAGGTCTGTATTATTTCTGAGTTCCTGTGAGTTCCTATGGAACAGGATTTCTTAGTAATCATCTAGTAATTTACTTCTTCAGACTTTTAGTGAAGTCAAGGTTTCAGTGCCACCAACACATGTACACTGCATCTTTGAGTCTGATGGAACCAGAAGCTGCTGCAGCATGAAATCTCAGTGCTTTGCAACCTGCTTCATCCTCCTTGATTGCTTCTCTCCAGCAGGTCAAAGCCTGTACCAACTGTTACATCTGTTTGGTTTGTGTTTGGTTTTTTAACAGGCTCTTGGCTGAGCCTTATGGTGCTGCAGCCTCTGTCTTCTCATGAATATATTATATACAGGTGTCGTTCTGGGTAGAAATACAGTTCCACCTGATGAAAACTAGACTTGGACTTTATGGTTTCAGTGCTAGTAGTTAGTAGTGACTGGACATCAGCAGCCTGCTCTTTTCTGTGTACTCTGTGGTGAGCTTTAGGACCTTTGCCTTCCTTTAGAACAAACACATTTTTCAGTACACAGATCATTAGTGTTAAGATTTAAGCTGAAACAAAATATCTGTAAAGCTTTTTCAGCTCATATGATGTCACCTTTGGGAACAGAATCTTTTTACCAGTCTGCTCAAACTGTGAAGGCAACAGCTTCCCACTCTGAAAAACAGCAGCATGGGTAAAATGAGTGTGTAAAATTTTTCTTTAAAAAACAAACAAACAAACAAACAAACAAACAAAAGTACTAGGGTTGAGCTGATGTTGAGGTGTGTATTAAAATGAAACTAAATGCAGGGAACCCCAGAGCTTTAGAGTGCATAATCCATGACCTGCCTGGGAAAGAACACCTCAGACTTGAGTCCTGACTTTAGAGACTGTTCATTAATTGAAGATGGAATTAAGCTTTTTTTTTTCAGTGACGACCTGTGATAGGAAAAGGGGTAATGGGTGAAAATTGGAGCATAGGAGGTTCAAGGTGAATATCAGGAAACATTTTTTCACTGTGCGGGTGATGGAGCTCTGGAACAGGCTGCCCAGAGAGGTTGTGGAGTCTCCTGCACTGGAGTCATTCAAAACCCGCCTGGACGCCTTCCTGTGTGATGTACTCTGGGTGACCCTGCTCTGGCAGGGGGGTTGGACTAGATGATCTTTCGAGGTCCCTTCCAAACCCTATGATTCTGTGATTCTGTGATTCTAATTGTTTCAAATAAACAGGAAGGAACTTCATTTTTGAGTCTGGCGATATGCCCTCTGAGAAGAACTGGATTCCACGTTCTGCTCCCCCTGCCCAGGCTGTTTCTTCCTTTTGTCCAACAACTCTTTGGGCACTTCAATTTCCCAGTGCCTCCATTCCCTCTCCCTCCCTTGCCTGCAGATTGTTTATGTACCAAGTACAAAATCAGGTTCTTTTTTGTTTATTCTTCTTTCTGCAGCAGTTGCCCAGCTGGATAAGGGGTGCTGGTGAAAGGCACATTGCCTGCCAGTTGGGCCACACTCGTGGGAAATGGAGTGGTGAATCCAAGCCTGTCAGGGCCGAGGGGCGTGTAGGGTTCAGCTTTCTTACAGCCTAGACATGATCATGAGGAAATACTGTTTCACAAAACATGGTTGCAGTTCATAGTGAAAGTAATTTATCAGCTCTGTGCTGGACTCTGCTGTCCCAATGAGTTAGGTGTGGTTTAAACATGCTTATCAGATTTGGCCCCTCTGGGGATCTACCAAGTCTTGTGACACATCCTTTGTACTAAGTTTATTACCCCCTATTGTTCATCTCTTGTCTAAACCTTTTTGGTACCAGCCCTGATGGAAGCCTGTTTCCCAACAGCTGGTAGGTGTTGGACTTTTGGGGACACCTTAGCTAGGTCCAGACACCACAGTACACCAAGGGCTCCACACAGAGACTGGGTGTGCTAGAATCTGGTACCAGCTATAAAAGAAATAAACTGGTTAGTTCCTGAAGTAATAAACTTTTTTTCCTTCAGGCACCCCAGGTACACAGGGTAGTACTTTGTATTTTTGTAGAAGCACAGACTCAGCAATTCACAACCTGCTTGAGTGCCAGTGTGCAGAACCATTCCCTAAATAATCTGATTTTTTAATCTGATTAAATTGGCTGTTGATTTTTTAACCTTATCTCTTGCTCCTGTAGGATTGGTCTCTGAGGCCAAAATCTCATTTTCTCCTGCCCCAGGACCTCCTCTTCCTATTAATTTCCAGGGAAGAGCTACATGTCAGTGCCTGGCTGGCAGCCTCAAGCTGTTCCTCTCTTGTGGAGCTGCACATGCTAGAGGGGCCCGACTGGGCCAGCTGCAAGCCAGTCTGCAGGCAGCCCCAAGAGCTCTCAGCCTGCCTCTGAATCCAAGGTGCTGGTTAGGTGGGAAGGAGGTACTCACCTGCTTGGAGACAGGCACAGCAGGGGTGACTGGATGCCTGTACTGGGGTACTGGGAGACGTGCAGGAGAAGGTGCTGCTGGGCCCGACCCCCATGTGCTGTGTGGCATCAGAGCCATCTGGAGCTTGGAAACAGAGTCAGGGTCTCCTCAACATACCCAGACTGCCATTAGCTGTCAGCTTGGATGCAGAGCACTGGCAAGATCTGTTAACAGGTTATTCTACACAGTAGCTTGTGTGCACACGCTCGTGTCTGGGATTATTTCTCTGCACGTGTAGCTCCTGGTGGTGTGCATGATTCTGTTGGTGCACTGCAGGTTTGTGCTTGGTTTGAAGTACCTGACTGTAGCCTGTTGAACGTGCAGACAGTGAGATGCACATGCTGTCAGGAAGTGTCTGTGGGAAGAGGCTAGTAAAAATTCTTTTGTATCTGGCCCTAGAAAAAAGAAAAGTCTTTTAAATGAGTGATAATTCTGAAAATTAATTCCACACTTTGGAAACTATAAAATGCCTTCATGTGAACAAACATTCTAGCTTAGCGATGCAAGACACATAGCAGAGCTGTAATTAATTAAAACACACTGGAGGACAGGAAGTTCCATGGAGACAATTAGATGTTGTGACTTTGTAAATTTTAGAAAGTACTGCAGTCACTACTAAAAAATTAATACTTTGTTTCAGCACTTGCTGTTCTCTACTTGTCCATCTGCACTACCACAGATGTAACCCTCCATACAGATTAAAATGCCTGTGTTCAAGAGAGCTAATAATTCTGCTGAAGATAAATTTATTCATATTTGTAGTAAATTAAGACCTATAAAGCACTGTGCAAAAATCTCAGAAATAGATCAGTGTAGAGTTTGGCCATTAGTTCATGAATGAGGCATAAAGCCAGAGACTGAATAAGGAAAATAAACCAAGTATTGGGTTGCTGACTGACAGGGAGTGCCACACATGCTCTGCACGAGGTGTGTGTACAGGAGTGTGTGACCACACGTGGTCATCGTGTAGCTTAGAACATAAGCAGTGGAATTGTCTGGACACCCTTAGTTCTGGCACTTCCAACCACCCCTGTGCCTGCAAAGAAATATCAAAAGGACAGCCTAAAGCAGGTGCAAAGAAGAGTGATACATGACTAAGAATGATCTTAAATAAAGACAAGCCTTTTGATTCCTGACAGGTCTGACTGAGGCTCATGAGGTCATCATACCCAAACTACCTCCAGGCCAGATTGCTCAGGTACAAGTAACAGTACAGCCATGGCACAACAGACATGGATTAACTGCCCAAATACTGTCCTGGTCTGGGGCTCCAAACCAGGACAAATATCCAGCTTTTTGCATAGCTTTTACAACAGGTACTGACTCTGCTGGCCTAGCTTCAGCCACAACAAGTAAACTGATAAACCAGCCTTCATTCTGAGATCAGGAACCAAAATTAATCCCCAATTTCACATCAGGTTGCACAACCAAGGCAAATCCTGTAATCCTCAGTGAAACATTAAGAACTCTCTCATGTTATTTACTCCTGGAAAAATTTCTTTGCTTGAAGAGTAAATTGCTAATACCTGCAATAGGAACAATGGAACAAAATATTGGTTGTGTCAACAGAGATGAAGAAACGTGATTTCATTTTGTTGAGAGGGAGTAGGGAACAAGTGTTCACAGGTAAGAACTCGTTGCTGCAGAGATTTGTAACTGTTAGCTTGTCACCATAGTTAAGTAGTGTGGTGACAGCAGGAAGAATTTAATCCACCATTTTCTTCCCACTCACAGTTTGGCTGGCAGAGGATGACAGTACCTGTGTCTGCACAGATACAGTGCAAGGTGGTTGCTTAACAGTGATGAAATACTGTACAGTTCCTAGGCATTGTGTGGCAGTGTGACATGCAACAGCAGCTACCTTGGTATCTATGCTTACCAAAGGTGGATCTGTCCTAATGAGCAATGTCATAATTGAGCTGAGATTTCCTTTTTTTCCCTCATGTTTTGGCTATTCACAGATATCAATTTGGCATCTTCCCTGCAGGTACATACTTTCTCCTCAAATTCCAAGTAAACAAGTTGATTATTTATCTGATTACAAAAAGACAAAATCCACTGTCTTCCCTGAATACAACCAAACGCTTCTCAGAAAGGAGCTTTATACAAGATAGTTTAGAGGACACTGAGTTATGGTTGTGTGGTTGTCCTCAATGCAGATGCTTACAGGTGGCCATTTCATACAGCTCACACGTCCATACCTCCCTTCTGTGTCAGCCATTCCCCTTTAAAAATTGCTTCTAGAATTCCCTTTAAAATCAAATTTGTCCATACACCCAGTTCCTTCCTTCAGATTTTACAACCAAGTCCAAAGCTACTGGTTGTCTACACTCATAGTCTGATGTTGATTACTACTCATCTCAGAAGTACTGGAAGTATCTCCAGTCTCCAGAGGCACTGGGGGATTTTTCTCTGTGCAGTTGTGGACATGCACATTGCTGATTACTCATATAGGGCATGCTTTAAATGTTTTTTGCTATGGTGACTTCTCATTCTTCGACACAAGAAGAGAACAAAAATTCTTACAACATAAGAAGAGAACTGCAAAAGTAGCATACCAATTAATGGGGTTAAAAGGAAAAAAAGAGGAAAAAACATCATGTTCCCAAGTGAAAACAATTGAGAGTCAGAATTCAGCAGATCATGCTCATCTTGACTTATTAATTCTTGTCTAGACTCTAAGGCACAGATAGTAAATAGGTGACTGATGTACGAATGCCCATATACTGGCTCATGGTATTCAAGAGAACACTTTAATAGGCTTTTATAAAATGTACAACGTGGTTTGCAATTTTACTTGATGATGGAAAAGAGAAAATACCATAACCAAAGAATGACAGTGCACAGTGGAAGCCTTTCTCCATGTGGTGCCAGGCCACCCTCACGTTGTTGTCCTCTAGGCGCTTCTTGTACAGCAGTCCATCATCTCTGAGCACATCGTGCTCACAGGTGATTATGCAGGTGTCAGGTAGGCAGCAGACAACAGCATCTTCTGCCAGCAGCGGGGAAACTCTTGTCCTAAACAGCTCCTTTGTTTCTTCATGGACGTGAGGTAGAAATGGAGTGGGTAATGGTGGTTCATAGCCCAGTTTAAATCTCTCTGGGATAAGATCGGGATTTATCCATTTCCTGTATTTCAATTTTATACTCTCAGGAACGTGAGAACCTGCCAAAACAGCTTCCTTCATAGAGCAGTCCTTATTCAAGTACTTCAGAATAAAATAGACTTCACGTTCCCGGGACAAGAAGGCAGTGAAAGCATTCTTCTGGTGAGATGGCAGATTGAAGTTCAGCGCTTGGAGAAATGGATAGATCAGTACCTGGGCACGTATCTTGGGGATATCTCTCCTATTTACCAGTTCTTGGCAAACAGTAGTAGTAAAAGTGCCCCCTACACTATCCCCACAAACAATAATCCGATCAGGATCCACTCCATAGCTTTCTGCAGTCTTCAGGAAGTGTACAGTAGCCGTGAGACAGTCCAGAGTCTGGGCTGGGTACCTGTGCTCAGGAGATAAACGGTACCTGCAGTGTACAAGAGACAGCTGTTACTGCATAGATTTGTAAATGGCCTCAATGTGTCATCATAAATGCATCCCAGGCATTTGCAAAACTCACCAAACCCAGGGTTTCTTACTTGTTTTAACCCTCCACTGCTTCTGCTTTTCTGGTTTTCCACTATTCTGTGAAATTCATTCAGTGCATTCATAAACTAAACTTCCTAATCATTAGGGAAAAGGATGTCAGTATTTTACTTCAGAGTCACTTTCAACATGTCGTGACTTACCCAAATAAGATATGGAATATGCATTTGGTTCTCAAAGCTGTTTCCTCTCAGCTTAATAAAATTCTTTAGTCATGAGTTTTTTTTCATGGAATAATTTGTTGGAAATGAAAGTTTCTTCATACCATCAGCTGTTTTCCATAAGCAAAACATCTTTAAAAGAAAGCAGTAGTCTGTGCAGCTTTGTTTAAAAAAAATATAGACTTACTATTTACTCTTTAAAATCATCCACAAAGCCCCCTAAAATATTAAAACCTGAATTTGGGAAAACAGTTTATAATCCCGTATTGTCAAATAAAGGCAATGATTTTTTTGTGGTGATAATGATGCAAAATGAACAAATCTATTTGTTCTTCTGAAAACAGCTGATATATGTATTACTTCTGTAACTTTATAAACCAGTATCAGGTATTTCCCACTCTCATTTCATGGCAGGTGCTTGCTCACACACATCAACAACATGAGGGCAGCTAACACTAGAGCTCAGTTTCTTATGTTCCAGAGGGGGCCATGAAAATGATCTGAAGGCTGGAAGCCCTCTCCTACAAGGCCAGGCTGGGAGAGTTGGGGTTGTTCAGCCTGGAGAAGAGAAGGATCCAAGGAGATCTTACTGTAGTCTTCCAGTATCTGAAGGGGGCCTCCAAGAAAGCTGGGGAGGGACTTTTTATGAGGACTTGTAGCGACAGGACAAGGGGTAATAGCTTCAGACTGGAGGAGGGTAGATTTAGATTAGCTGTAGGGAAGAGGTTCTTCACTGTGAGGGTGGTGAGACCCTGGCCAGGCTGCCCAGGGAAGCTGTGGATGCTCCATCCCTGGAGGTGTTCCAGACCAGGCTGGATGGGGCTTGGAGCAACCTGCTCTAGTGGGAGGTGTCCCTGCCCATGGCAGGGGGGTGGAACTGGGTGATCTTTAAGGTCCCTTCCAACCCAAACCATTCTCTTCACAGAATCATAGAACTGGCATCACTTGGAGGGGTGGGGGAAGCGAGGGGCAAAGCAGCAGAACCGTTGGAGTTGTGGGAGTGGCAGTGGGTGGAGCTCACTTACCCAACAGACACAGCCACTGAACCCGACTCTCTGGCGAGGTGCCGGCAGAATCGCTCGTAACTTCCTGAAGAACGAGTGTTGTTCATGCAATTAATAGCTTAGAATACTTGAAGCAATATCCTACCTTAGTTTGTTATGATATATTGACATGATTGAGTGTGAGCCCCTTCCCTGTTTAGTCAGCTACCCAATTTCCTCTAGGATAAAAATAATCTAGACTTGGTCATCAGGACATCCTGTAAAGTTCCTACATTTGATCTGTAAGGAAGATAAGGAATGAACATCATGATTATTGCTACTAACCAAGAGGCAATGCTTTTGAACAGAGAGAGTAGGATTGTAGTTCTCCTTTGACCTTAATTCTGTAGCTGCTTCATTTAGATGATTTAATTTACAGGTATTTCCTCAATGGTTCTTTCTATAGAAATATTCTTTCTATATTCTCAGTGTTCTTTCAGTTACAGAATTCTAATGCCATTGAATATGTGCATGTCTACTGCCTGTAGAAACAGTATCTTTTAGAATATTTAAATTTACATCTTTGCAATTAACTGCTTTCTCTAATAAATCAACCTAGAGCAAAAAGTCAGCATAACTGAAGTTGTGCATCATGGGCACACGTTCAAGTGGCTGCTGTCTGCCACTTGAAC